ATAAAGAGTTATTATCACCGTGTAATTAACTTGCAATCACATCTTAGAAATATGCATGGTCATAATATACAAAATATTTATTAATTCGAGTAGGGTCATACCATATTGGAATTAATGGGAGTTCTACATCTCTAGGAAGTTTAAATTAGTTAAGTGTTTTGTATCACGCGTTATCAATATCATTTGTTCTTTAGAGAAATGTTGCATATGACGTGGGGTAGTAAAATTTAGTAATATAATAACCATGTTTGTTCAATTACATTATAATCTGCTATGTATGTATATTAACTCTAGGTATTGCACAGAACCATGCTACCATGCTTTGTTTTAAAAACTCTGTTAAATGAAATATATATGCATATATATGATGATGAAGTTTAATTTTTGGGATTGCGTTACATATATAGAAGATGGCATCATGCTATCGCAAAGAGATGGGAAAGGACTAGGGTTGATCTAAGGACCCATGCAAGGTTGCTATAGCAATAGCATGAACCCTTTGTCAGACTAAAACGTGATGGTGTCCACCAACAATGGCCTAAAATGTTTCTCATTATAACCTGTTGCATAAGTAGTAATTACTTACATGAAAATTCATGCTACTAAGTCTCTAACACACTCATAAGTTGACCAAGTAACATACCTCGTGAAACATCCAATCAAAGCTTCTTTCAATGGAAAATAGGGGCAGCCAACAAGCCTCATTGCCTCAAAGCTGGAGTGCAGAGAAAAACATGTATCTTTGAGGGGCCGGCAGATAGATACTCAGGTCATTGTGGGGTGTGTTTTGTTTCATATTCGGAATCATCAATTCTCCTACAAATTTATTTGTGCATTATTAAGAAGAAAATGTTTTAAGAATGATCGATATATCTTATGCTCAGCTTGAGGAAAAAGGAGCCCAAGAGTTAAAAGAGAAATTTTTAGTGTTAATCGGATGTAGAAATAAATAATAATAATAATAACTAAATGTCATTTAAGAAAAAAAAAATCCAAAATATTTTTTATTTTAGTTTTTTTAATATATATTTTTTAACCTATATATCGAATAATATATTTTTTTTTATAAAGTTGTATTGCATCTTGTTTTTAAAAAATTTTGTAAAATTATTATTCCGTTTCAATCAAGTAAGAGATAAATACAAAAATAATGTTATACAAATTGTTACACAACTTTTATTGCATGTGTAACATTACTTATATAGAAAACCTAAACTACACTAATTATCAGATGAAAAGAGTACAATATATTTATTTTAGAAAAATGCTAACCAGTTCATGTATACTCCTACTATTCCACAATGACTATTTTAAAATTGTTACATACATATAAGGAACATAATAAATGTATCATTTTTTTGGGTACAATTTTATTAAAATAACATGCATTCTCAATAGAAGCATTACTTTAGTTGTGGTAGTTAAATAATTTATCAAGAGATAATATAAAAAAAAAAGTTAATATTACATTGAAAAATAATAAATCCTTCATTTTATAATATTTATTAAATGTTAAAATGACGGTAATTGTAAGGAAGAGACAGTAATATATGCTGTTAAAGAATCAGATGTAGAAGTTTTTTATTTTTTATTTTATTTATTTATTTTTACTGAAAAGTGAAGCAACATACTTCCTTGTCTAATTAACAATCCAAAAATATTTGCTCCTATGTGTACACATGTATATTTAAATTATATATCTGTGTGTACATACTGTAAATAAAGGTACAGGTAGGTATATACGGGAGAGTCATTTGATTGGAAATACAGCTCCTGCATGCAGTTATCATTTCTTTGTTGAAAAAGGAGCAGATCTTATATATAAACAATCTAACTTGAGGAAAACATCAAAAGGCTTTTGTGTGCACGCCTGAAAAGGGTGTTCATGGGAGGAAAGAACCATGGATGAACTAAGATACCTTAGTTATTATGTTTGGATTTTCTGTTTAAATATAAAAATACAGAATATTATAATTAAGATGATAAATTAAAGATTCTCCAAAAGAATAGGGGGGCACATCTGGATGGTTCCTTTGAACACTTAGTGTGATGATGAATCGGGACGAATATTGGAGTTTGATGCACATTTTGCATCGCATAAGAATCCGTAAATGACTATAAAGTTTACTTCGATGCAAGAATTTTTCAGAAGAGAAGGTATATACCCTTTTGCAATTGAGAGACATTCAAATGTAGAAGTTTTAAAGGAGACTGATCTGACGGCTTTATCTACCATGTCGGCTCTTATCAACAAAGATATTTTCTCCTTTCACAATGCTTGTTAACGTTTAGAGTAATTAGACAACAAAATTACTATCCTCGTGTTTTATGTGTTATAATCCTTGCCACAATATTTAGGCACTTACAGATCCATTGGAAAAGTAATATCTCAATATTTGTTTGTAGGGTGTTTGAACTTTGAAAACAAATAAAAACTAGTTATTTAATTCAGGTAAAATGGAGTCAATTTAATTTTATGTATAATGTGTTTAGAAATTACGGTTTTTTTAAAATTGATTTTAATAATTTTTTTAAAAAAGTGATTTGGAACCTAACTTAAACATAAAAAATCAATTTGTAAGATTGAAATTATTCTCCATTTACATACACTATTATGGTCTCGTTGTTTCATGATCTCTTATTAATATAAGATTTTCAATACTCTTTTTCACTTTAAGAATAAATTGGATGATACAATAGACATAAACAATTCCTAAGTAGGTTCTAATATCATTTGAAGAATTGAAAAAAGTGATTTAAAATTTAACTTAATCTTACAAAAATGACTTATAAAGTGAAGATTGCTCCTCATTTATATATATTATTATAGTCTTATCTTTGGTTAATGTAAAATATTCAACAAAGTTAAATTTGACACAATTAATTTTATCAAACTCATTTTGAAGTTTTTTCATTTAAATTTTTCACATTTTCTATTTTTTTATTTGAATCTTTCAATTAAATAAAAAATAACTAGGGGGTAATTAATATATAATTACGGGATCATTCATTTAACAATCAATAAAGATGCAAAATTTTTTAAATTTTAATAAAATTTGAATTTTTTTTGGTCAGCAAAAGAAATTTATTAATACTTAGGCACTAAAAGTACTTAGAAATACAAAGGTAATTACCACACTTTAATAAGTGATAAATAAGAAATGTCAATAAACCTAACCAAGCCTAATAAAATATAAATCAATTACAAAAGCAAGTTCCAGGTGAGTTTTGCCATTGACTGAAGGAGTATGAGAAGTCCTTTATCAGTTCTTTTAGCCAAGCTCAAGAGAAATACAGAACGTCTTGTATCACTTTGTTGGAGTCAAAAACTTAATTTTTATGTAAAGATGCATTCTTGTGTCTCCAAATACACCAGACCACAGCACACGAAAGTACTTTTCATCTCTCTCTACAAGTAGTGTTCCAAGATAGCATAGGGTAATGATAAAAGTGTAAGCTCGGTGTACCTGGGAGAACAGACACGATGTCGAACCAACAAAAATAAGTTTTCCAAATCCTTTGAGCTTCTTTACACCTAAATAGGACGTGAGCTATAGATTCTACCTCAACTCTATAAGCAAGACACAAAGCGTCCTCTTCCACAAGTTAGATATTCCTCTTGATAAAGTTGTCTCGAGATGACATCCTGTTTAAGAAGGTAGATGTTAGATAACCATACTATAAACTTTAACCAAAATAATTTGAAGTTGTAATGTTATAAAAAAAAAAACTCTTAATCTATATATTTGGTTCTTAAACATTTTCAAACTAGTAGTCCCCGTCGAAAGAAGGTTGATGTACAGCGAAAACTAGATGCTATACATAGTTGGAAATTAAACCAATATATTCCACAACTTAAACCTAATTCAGGCTAAATGCTATGCTCTAAATCTGGCCCCTAAATGATTATTATTTTTGTATAAAACCCAAATGAAGAAGACATGCACAAATATTGTAGATCAAACCTTTGATTTTTGAGACTCAAGGAAAGAAAAGAAAGTACAAAAAATTAGATGACAAATGAACACAAATACTTAGTCTCGTAAACTCAAACTTAAATAACTCATTAATTAGGATTAACATAGTGATAAGAACTTTACTTAATTTGCACATGATGTCCTAAATTTAAATCTAATTGATTTCATTATACGATAATTAAAAAAAAAACTCAAACTTAAAATAAGGTTCAAGTTGGAAATTAAAAGCAAATGACAACTAAGCTATAGGCCAGTTGGAGTTGAAAACAAATATTTGAAAATGGAAAAGTTGAAATAAAGAGTAAATATAAGGAGTAAAGGAGATATAAAGTTTGAGTGCAAAAGTTCATATTGTCTTGGGTATTTAGACAAAGAAGCAATTTCAAGCACAATCTCACGAAATAACAAGTCACTCCCCCACAATTCAAGACTTGGACGGGCCACTACATAATTTTAACAACTTTATTACTGCCAATGTTAAGAAATTGTGCATAGTAAGAGATCAAGAAGATTAATTACATGATCCAAAATTGTGTATATATAAATATATATAATACAAACTACTGAGTACTGACTTTGAAGTGATATGTGGCTACTTCTTTTGCTTTTAGTTTACCTCAATTTCCCACCTAGCTTCATATTCTTTGGTGTTTCTGAAGGAATATCATGGCTAATAGCAATGAGAGACTTTAAATCATCTATAACTGTTCATGGACCCAGCTACAAAACATCCCAAAAAATCATACATGGAATTGACTGACCCTCTACGTGTCATGCCCACTTTTTATGTATAATTAGTTGAAAGTACTATTCTTCAACCATCAATAGGATCTCTAAGTGGCTATATACTTTGTCTCATAGCTAGAATATTTGCTCTCCCCCTTGTGAGTTTTTCTTTTAAAAAACAGAAACAATTCTTGGGGGTGAATGAAAGGTTGTTGCAATTGTTGGTTAATGTTAGTTATTACTAACATAAAGATGTCCTACATACCCAAATCCCTTTAACACACTCATGAGCACCACTCACCATTTCATATATATATGCACATAATTCCTTTGTGAATAACAAACAACCTTTATTCCTCAGCCCTTAAGTAGAGTAGCTATAGCTCCTGAGACCTTCCCGCTTTCATTCTCCTCCATTGAAACAAAACCAAAGTTCAAACCCTCTCCCTCAGTTTATTAAACTACAATTTCCTATTTCCAAAATCCACTACACACTTCTGATGTATTCATAAGGTCAAAAGAAAACCATCCATCACCTCATCATCTAAATTCTTCAAGAGGAGAGAGTTAATTGGTAACTAAAGAGTTGAGTTTCTTCTATGGCATACTTAGTAGCTCCTAAACCTTAGTTGGCTTCAAAATCTTGCACAATCTTACCCTCCAAACTTTCCTTTTATTTATATATTTTTTTTTTTTCTGGGTGGTGTTCATCATGGACTACTTGAAGGAACTAGAAGGCAAAAGTGTCCATGATTATTATCATCAGATAAAGATGAATAAAATGGCAAGCCCTATATTTGTCCCGGGACCAGTTATAGTGGGAGCTGGTCCCTCAGGGCTAGCTGCAGCAGCTTGCCTTAAACAGAAAGGCATTCCAAGCCTCATCCTTGAAAGAGCTGAATGCTTAGCTTCAATGTGGCAGTTCAAGACTTACGATCGCCTTAGGCTTCATCTTCCAAAGCAATTCTGCCAACTCCCTCTCATGCCATTCCCCAAAGCCTTGCCCTTATATCCAACCAAACAACAATTCTTGGCCTACCTGAATGCTTATGCTGATCACTTTGGCATAAAACCTGTCTTCTGTCAAACAGTGGTCAGTGCTGAGTTTGATCATGTGTGTGAGCTTTGGAGGGTGAAGACTCAAGGGCTCAAAAAGGAGGACACAGCAGAATATGTTTGTCAGTGGCTTGTAGTAGCTAGTGGAGAGAATGCTGAGGAAGTGGTGCCTCAGATTGAAGGGATGGAAGAGTTTGAAGGGCCTATTGTACACACTAGCTTGTATAAGAGTGGAAGCATGTTTTGTGGGAAGAACGTTTTGGTGGTGGGCTGTGGGAATTCAGGCATGGAGGTTTGTTTGGATCTCTCCAACCATAATGCTCTTCCATCCCTAGTGGTTAGAGACACGGTGAGTTTACTAATTAGCATGTGTTTTGGTTGAGATTGTTTCTCAGAAGTAGTTCTATACTTTTTGTTTTGAAAGCTTACCAAAAACGAAAAAAATGATTTGTTTTTGTGAACTCAACATATACATAAATTTATCTTACGAATATATATATTGAATTTTAGATACAAATTTTTAAGAATTTTTTTTATAAAAAAATATATTTTTTTCAATCTTGAAACTCTAAAGAAAATATAGTTTTAACTTATATGTTAAACAAACTTGTTCGTAGTAATATAATTGAAATATATATATATACACATAGAAGAGTTTTGTGAACTTAGTTGCTACTATTAGCAATTCTCTTTGTTAGTGTAATTAAAATTAGTTGAGTACCAACACCCTTACATATTTCTAAGGGTACCACAGCACAAGTCTCAAAAAATTTCCCAGTTTGAGATAAAATATATTGAATTAATAATGAAACATGTTCCTGTCCAAATCTTCATTTATATAGTGGCTTTGTAGTCAATTTTGATGTGCCCATGATTTTTGATAAAGCTGGAAACTGAAGAATGAACACAGTCTGCTAACATATTATACTATAATTGCTATAACTAGAACTCTGAAAGTGTTTGTGTCATGGTTCTCTCTCACTTCTCACTTCATAGCAACTCATTTGCATGCGCAACAAAATCTTAGAATAATATATATGACCTTCGAGTTTGAGATTTCAATCTTTTCTCTCTGCACATGTCTGTCAGTATATATTGACAGACACAATTGGAAGCATGAAAAGATTATTGTCATTAGTCTCCTCGTGTCTACAATTTCCTAAAAAGTTCCTTAAGCTATCACTTTTTTCTCCCCACTTTTTTTAATTTATTTTTAATGTGATATTTTCTTTTCTTTTCATTGATGCAGGTGCATATCTTGCCACAACAGATGCTTGGGAAATCAACTTTTGGTTTATCCATGTTCTTGCTCAAGTGGTTCCCCATACGTTTTGTGGATCAATTTTTGCTTCTAATGTCACATCTCATGCTTGGAGACACTGCTCAATTTGGACTTCACCGTCCCAAACTTGGGCCTCTAGAGCTCAAGAACTTGTACGGAAAGACACCAGTTTTGGATGTTGGGACACTAACTCAGATCAAAAATGGAAAAATTAAGGTAACATAACATTGCTCTTCTACCAATCAAATCCAAAAGACCACTCTTCAATCATCATGGCTATCATGTTTCCTTGTCCTAATCAACGAAATTTGCTTTTTACTCTAAGGCAAAGGTTTAAAAGAAAAAATAAAGACATTTTCTGTTTCATTGTTTCCAACATTGGATCTTGTCCAATTATGTGTATAGGTTTGCCGGGGAATTAAACGACTTGCACGCAATACAGTGGAGTTTGTTGATGGAAAAGTAGAGAACTTTGATGCCATCATTCTAGCGACTGGTTACAAAAGCAATGTACCCTCTTGGTTAAAGGTACTCCATTTAATTCTTTGTTGCTTAACTTTGGTATTTGCTATAACAAAAGTAAAAATTCTTTTAATTAATTGAATAAATAGTTTTTATATATTCACCTTTGGTATTTTTTTTTACATTATCATTCAACCACAAATTATCATATAGGACAATTTTGTTAACTTTTATAATAACTAATTAGAAATTTATGTCAACAATAATTCTTATTAGTTGAATATATAATTTCTTTTACATATTGAACTTTTACTCAAGTTAATTTATGTTAAAATTTTCTGAAATATTATTTAATTTTTTGTTACACTCAATATCATTTAGTATTTAAAAAAGGAAAAATCTTAGATATTAGTAATATTGTTATCCAATCATAAATGAAATTTTATTTCAATTCAGTTTCACGTTGAGATTTATTGAAATCCTTTATTATGCATGTTATCACGAAAAAATTCTAATTTTAATTAGAAAAACAATTGCATGTATGATAAATTTTATCTTTTTAAAAAACTGTTTTATTTGATTTATTTTTGTCTTTAAAGAAGAGAGAGATTCCAGCAAAATTAAAGCTGGACAACACTTGGTGACTTTCATGATTGATAGTATTAATGGAATATTGATTACTGTGAGCAGGGCAGTGAGATGTTTAGTGAGAAAGATGGGTTGCCCCGGAAGCCATTCCCAAATGGGTGGAAAGGTGAAAATGGACTGTATGCAGTGGGTTTCACAAAACGTGGCCTGCTTGGTGCTTCTATTGATGCTAAGAGGATTGCTGAAGATATTCAACATAGCTGGAAAGCTGAATCCACGCATGTATTCCAGTTCCCTTGTCCACTTGCATGATGTGGGAAACATATTTATATATTTGCAAATTAATGTTTTAGGATTAATTAGAAAAAGAAAAAAAAAAGGGTGGCCTAGCCTATTGGTGGTGCCCTTTATTTGACACAATGCTGTCTACCAAACAATTTCTCTCCCATTTGAAAAGGGGAAAAGGAGCTTCAAAAAGGAAGAAAAAAAAAATTAAGATGAGAGGGCATATATATGTGTGTATATATAGAATGTGTGATTCCTATAAATCCATTTTCACCAAACTAGGGGATTGGGTTGGCGACCAATTTGATGTGTATTTTTAATTAGTTTGGTTGGGTTGAGCTTAATTAGATAAATATTGCCATGTTACACATTTGTATATCTTGTACATTGCCATATCTACCTAGCTAGGTAGTTGAATTTTTTGAGAAAGAGGGGCTGTTATAGTTTCTGAGCCTATAGAAATTATGTAATGTATCCATCGATTTGCCCTTATTCTAATCATTTATGAGAGAATTCTTGTGCTTTTTGATATATATATCTATTCATTATATATTGTACATATTTTTTCTTATCCATTAAAATCAATTCGATTTTTTTTTTGAAACAGCAAAATTAATATATAACAGGTACAAGGGGTACCTGAACCCATATACAAAGTATAGAGTTTTCCAGGATTATAGAGAAATACTTAGTACATTTCTATCTCCTCATAATCAGAACCTGCTACCCTATCCACACCCGTTGAAACAAATACATGGCCCAGGATTGCTACTCCATTGAGAGAAAGAATAGGCAAAGGATGGTTTGAGGGTGGATAGCCACCTCCAACAAAAAATAAGAATGTCTCTAACTATACTACCTTGCTCAAATGTTCCGCCGTCAAAGATACACTTATTCCTGTACCTCCATAAGGTCCACATTGTAGCTAGCCACACAGTATGCCAAGTTTCTGCCTCTGACTCGTTTTGAATTGGTGCTGGGAGGAAAGAAAAGTGGTCGAAGATCTGCCTAGGAAGAGGTGCAGGACAATTTAACCAGGAGAGGCACTGTTTCCAAACTCTATCAACCATCGGACATGTACAAAAGATGTGTGTAGTGGTTTCAATATCTACCTTGCAAAAGATACATCTAGATTCATGCTCGCCAAGTAATATATTCCTGCGTGCCAAATTATCCACAGTTGGGAGTCCTCGATTCAGAAGCCTCCAAGCAAAGAAGAGAACTTTAGGAGGGGCAGGGATAGACCATATTAACTTGAAGATATCGTGATCTTCAATAGTGACTGACTCAGCTAATATGATCTGATAAGCCGACTTAACAGAAAACATCCCTGAGGACTCTGCCACCCAACTCCAAGAGTCGCATTGGGAGGAATTGAAGATGCGACTATTAATTAGGCGCAAAAGTTGTTGTTCTAAAGGAATTTCCCACTCAAATCTATTTCTCCTCCACCTGAGGTGCCACACCCATTCTCCGTTCACAAATGCCCCAATCTCTGCAATAGAAGCAAGTTGCTGATCAGAGCTAATGAACAATCTAGGGAATGCAACTGCAAGATTAGTAGGCCCCACCCACTTATCTAGCCAAAATCTAACTTTAGACCCCACTCCAACTCTCCACTCAATCAACTTATCAAACCAATTATCCTCCTCAACTCCACCACACACCATTAAAAGATCCCTCCACCATATAGAATCCTTCTGAGAGGAGGCTTGAGCACACAGATTGTGCCCACCTCTGTACCTTGATTGTAGAACCTGAGCCCACATAGAGCTGGATTGGTGGAAGAGATTCCATCTCCACTTAGCCAGTAGCGATCTATTGAAGAGTATGATATTTTTTACTCCCAATCCCCCTTTTTCCTTTGGTAGGGTCACCTTATCCCAACTAATCCAACAAACCTTCTTCTGATCCCCGACTCCACCCCACAAAAAGCGCCTTTGTAGGGAAACTATCTCCTTAGACACCCGATTTGGGATTTTGAAGAAAGATAAATAATAAAGAGGGAGGGAAGTTAGCACAGAATTCACCAGACACACTCTACCAGCCATAGAGAGAACAACTGATAAGACCTATTGGTATATATTGTACACATTTAGCTAATGTGTTTGAATTCCCGAACACAGGCTAATTAATTAGGTTGGAGCACAGGACCATAGAAAAATGGTAATATGTTGATGGAGAAGATTGGAAGAAAAAGGCACTCAAAAAAGAGAAAAATCCAATAGCATGAAAAGAAAAGTCCATTAGAGTATGGAAAGGTCCCAATTCCCATGAAGATGAAAGTGGCCCTTTGATTATCTATAGGAATAGGACTTATGCAGGTTACTTTTTTGCACAATATTTTAATTTACTTGCGAAATGAATTACTTTAATCGTTATCTTCAATGCCAGGCCTTTTCCCATCTTTATCAGGAAAACGGACCACATTTGCTCTTCAAAGTCCACAAGATGAATTCCACGGTTTAATTTTATTAATTAATTCCTCTCTGCCAATGCCAACACGTCTATCTATTAATAAATGAATGACAACTTAAAGGTTGAAAAACTGAATCCGCTGGACCTTGTATACTCTCTGCTTAAACCTTGAATTCAAAGATGAAAGGGAATATAATCCAGGACACTTCAAATTAAATGATTTAGTGGGAAATTTGGACCTCATTCTCACTGGATATATGTATTATATATTATATTTAAATGTTTATATATAGGTCTTGTTAACAATGGTGACTTAATGTAGTAATTAAATACTTAATATTTACACGTTGTGAACATAATTTATTTAATAAAAAAATTATATTTAATTGTTATCGTGTGCAAAAAATTCTTTGAATAAGCACATTAGTATAAATAAGATTAGTCTATGATTAGTTAAAATATACTATTATAGAACAAATATATACAATGTAGGTTTTGTTATCAATTTATTCATTTTTAGTATTGACTCATCCTAATACTAAGAAAGATATATAGTGAAGACCTTAAATATAGCAGCAAGATTAGATTTTTTTTATGTGAATTTATTTTTCATACATTGTCGGTATAATTTTTTTTACAGAAATTATTTTAAATATAACTTCTAAAATAATTATCATAAATCTTATCATACATGACAATTTATAATTAAAAGACAATATAAAATAATTTTACATTTCTATTATATTCTAATTGCAAATATAGAAAAGAAATACATTTTTCTTCCTTTTAGATTTTCAATATATTCTAATTACATATATAAAATAAATTACACTTCTCTACTTATAATTTTACACATTGTCAACATTCAACCATACTCTTTTTTTTTTTTTTTTTTTTAAGAAAATCACTGAACTGTACTCCTTTATCCCTTATTAATTGATTTACTTGGGTTTAGGCATATATATTAACCACAATTTAAACCATTGTTGGAGCATTTTTCACTTTCATTTAAACTTAAGAGAGATATTAGTGATACAAAAATTAATTTGAGAAAGTGTGAAATTATAAGGAGATTATTGAAAGTGCAATTAAAATCCTACATCAATATGTAATTTACATACATTTACGTATATGTGTGTGAGAGAAGGATTAGTTTAAATTCGTTTATAATTGGACTAATATTCAATTCATTAAAAAATTTATATATAATACATTTCTTATTGATACAACCATTGAGTTTTAATTATTTAATACTCTAATTGTTTATGTCAAATTTTATAATAATAATAATAATAATAATAATAATAACTATTATATATTCTGTATATTTTAAATGTATATATATCTATGAAATATATACTTGTAAATCTATATTATTAATTACACAAAATTCTTAAATGTTTTATGAGTTACATTATGTTTGTTTGGTGTATATATGTATATTATCATCATCATTGCAAGATATTTTATATCCCTATATTTTATTTAATAAAAATATTTAAAAATTATAAACTTTATTAGATCAATTAGTGTTATATTTGATTTCAAACTTTAATGGCTCAAATTTAAGTCTTGTATTTGTAAGAATAATTAATTTTTAATATTATTTTTTATTATTTAAAAATTTAAAATAAAATTATATAAAAAATGTGTACACCAAATTTGATTATCAATTTTATATATGTTATAAATTATTATTATTAATTAATTAATTGAATCTTTCACAATTAATTCTTATAGAAAAAGTTGTAAGATTAATTGTCGACTTGGGGTGGTATACCTAACTAGGTAAAGTCCTCCTCAGGGAACAAATCCTAAGATTTTACAGTGAGAGATATTATATATAATGATATATAAATATATTATTATAGATATGTATATATAAATTTATTTGACACATATTCACATATAATAATAAATATTATCTTATTATAGGACATGTATTATATAAGATATTTTTTTTAATGATTCAAATATCTAACATTAATATCAATTGGTAATTCTTCTGATGATTATTCCTTATTATTATTGTTTTAAGAATATAACAGACATACAGTATGTGCAAGCAAATATATGCTAGTTATAAGTATAATACACAGGCAGCTAGGACCTTAACTAATTCATTGTTTAGACAAAAACCCTTGCTTTTCCCGCTATGAATGAGAAGTAGTGCCTATAGCTTGTACAAAATATTGCTAGAAAAGAGATGAACAGCAAAATGATTTAGACTTTCATTGAAAATGACAAATATAATTTAGCTATAAAGGAGACAGTTAATTACGGTATTAAGATAAAAGATAGGGTTGGCATGTTTTATTCCGACCGAGTAAGAGTTGGTGAGAATCTTGGCCTTTGAATCAAGACGAATACATACCAGCCAATGAGTAAGTTTCAACTTTCAGTATTAATAAGAATAAGATTGTGATATAATTGATAGATAACTATATCTATGTATCTAATCAAGAGTTTAACATTTGATCAGTATACATAAAAAATATTTATTAAGAAGATTCGGTTTTTTAAAGAAAATATTTTAAAAGATTAATTCTTCACTTTCAACTAAAATTAAAGATGCATTAAGTTAAAAAAGAAAAAATTAAATCAAACCTTCACACACAAACACACAAGCTAGCAAATAACATACTATCAGCATCAAGGGTTTCCTTTTGCAGTGATACAATCCAAAAGAGGACCACCAAAAGTGTTCCCTGCTAATTATTGCCTGGCCCATCAAATTTCTTAATTCCATACTTAACAACCCCTTAATTCTTGCCCATCTTTATCTTCTTTTGTCCGTTAGGCC